ACTTTCTAAAAAGGCCATTTATTTCTGTCTAGAATGATGTACAAATGAGCGTTCTTGCTCATTTTGCCTCCGAGATATGAGCAAAAACGGGACGGGAAACATTAAATTTTGGCATAAGCTTGCACCTAAGTGTCTGATGTTCAAATTTCGCTTTCTGGGTCAAAACTACTCGAATTTCCTCACTCACGTTGTTACGACTGAATGAACTTTTCAATTCTCTATTCAACGATGCCAAAACGAATTCTGTGGCTCAAATGGTTCTTGAGAAACTTCGAAAAAAGCAGCGTCATGTTCAAGTCGATTTGGCAACTAAAAAGAAACCACGCAAATATGAAACTTCTTGAATTCAAGAATTTTTTGAGAAAACTGCCAACATTTGCTTATCGATGTTCACTTTCTAAAAAGGTCATTTATTTCTCTCTAGAATGATGTACAAATGAGCGTTCTTGCTTATTTTGCCTTCAAGAAAGGAGCAAAAACGGGACAGAAAACATTAAATTTTGGTATAATCTTGCACCTAAATGTCTGCTATTCAAATTTCGCTTTCTGAGTCAAAACTACTCGAATTTCCTCACTAACGTTGTTACGACTGAATGAACTTTTCAATTCTCTATCCAACGATGCCAAAACGAATAAAGGCCATTTAGTTATCTCTGGAATGATGTAAAGACAAGCGTTGTTGCTCATTTTGCTTCCGAGAAATATGCAAAACGGGACGGAAAACATGAAATTTTGCAATAATCTTGCGCCGCCTTTGCACAAAACGACGATCATTTTTCTAAGATCATAAACAACAGAAGACTGTATTTTTTCTACATAACCCCCCCCCCTGACTTTTAAGCTGGATCCGCCCTTGAGTGTAAGTCGCTTTGGACCCTTTAGTAGTTTTCCCCACTAGAAAGCCGACCGTTTTATAAGCTATTTTTTGTGTTTCAACTGAGTTGGGAATTTTCAAGATATCGAGCTGAAAATTATAAGGCCAGTTTAAATGCGGCCGATATCCGACCATGCTTTCCTAAGTCTTTTATGAAAATCATAAATAAAAGAAATATTTGCGTTATATCAGAGTTGAGCTTCTGGATTTAGGGTGGCAAGAGTGAAGTTTCGGGTGAAAAACGCATTCAAATTTGTCGGCCCTTCGTCTTGTAAAGAGCGGGAATATTTTCAATCACATTATATATGGAAATCTAAGTTTGCATCTTCAATATTTTTTTTGGGCGGGTTAAGCGTTTTTTTCGAAAACCGTTGAAAATACCTTATTGGTCGTGATTCTCTCTGCGATGGAGCGTCGCATAAACCATATTTTTCAAATTCCACTTTATTCAGAAATTTGTAATCTGGAAAAAGTTAGAAGCAAAAGACTGAAAAAGTAAGGAAAAGTTGAAGTTAATACCCGCGTATCTCAAAATCCATTGTAAATTTCTGGCCATCCGTAATGCTTTTTTAAATCGAACATTTCAAAAACTGTTTTGCTATTGAATTGATTCCGAAAGTCCCAACTTTTCAAGTTAGAACCAAAAAAGTGAAAAAGTAAGGAAAAGTTGAACTTTACACCCGCGTATCTCAAAATCCATTGTAAATTTCTGGCCATCCGCAATGCTTTTTTAAATCGAACATTTCAAAAACTGTTTCCGAAAGTCCCAACTTTTCAAAAGTTAGAAGCAAAAAAGTGAAAAAGTAAGGAAAAGTTGAAGTTTACACCCGCGTATCTCAACATCCATTGTAAATTTCTGGCCATCCGCAATGCTTTTTTAAATCGAACATTTCAAAAACTGTTTTGCTATTGAATTGAATTGATTCCGAAAGTCCCAACTTTTCAAAAGTTAGAAGCAAAAAAGTGAAAAAGTAAGGAAAAGTTGAAGTTTACACCCGCGTATCTCAAAATCCATTGTAAATTTCTTGCCATCCGCAATGCTTTTTTAAACCGAACATTTCAAAAACTGTTTTGCTATTGAATTGATTCCGAAAGTCCCAACTTTTCAAAAGTTACAAGCAAAAAAGTGAAAAAGTAAGGAAAAGTTGAAGTTTACACCCGCGTATCTCAAAATCCATTGTAAATTTCTGGCCACCCGCAATGCTTTTTTAAATCGAACGTTTCAAAAACTGTTTTGCTATTGAATTGATTCCGAAAGTCCCAACTTTTCAAAAGTTAGAAGCAAAAAAGTGAAAAAGTAAAGAAAAATTGAAGTTTACTCCCGCGTATCTCAAAATCCATTGTAAATTTCTGGCCATCCCCAATGCTTTTTTAAATCGAACATTTAAAAAACTGTTTTGCTATTGAATTGATTACGAAAGTCCCAACTTTTCAAAAGTTAGAGGCAGAAGAGTAAAAAAATAAGGAAAAGTTGAAGTTTTCAACCGCGCATCTCAAAAACGCGCCTTTCAGATAGAGCAAATAAAATATTATTTTCCCCGAATTGGAATTTTAGCAAAATTCCAAACTTGTAAAAAGTCTGCAGCAAAATTAGGGAACGATCGCACTTCAAAATTGCGTGTCTGAGAAACGCTTAAAAAATCCACTCAACCGTCAGAACATTTTCCATAAAGCGTCTTCATAAATGTAGCGAACTAATGAGACTTTCCAAACATTCCTGACCTCTAAGACGCTAAAAACAGACTGATAAAAACTAAACAGAATGGCAAAGTCAAAACTTGCGTATCTCAGAAACCGTTGATAAAACTCGTTCAACCATAGGAGCCTTTTCGATAGAGCGTCTCAAGCACATGCAGAAGACGGAGGCAGGCGCAAAAAATAAAAAAAAATCAAAGCAGCTCCTTAACAAAAATCTCCCTCAAGACCCTCTTCATTTAATAAACTTGGTAAATTCTCTTCTATGTCTCGCCTCTTTTGCGAACTTCTTTCGAGATTCCAAACCAAATACTCCATCTATATATTTACTAGAAAGCTACCCATTTTGGCAAATTGATAGAAAGCCCTGCCGATACATGATGGATCTGAAATGATTCGGGCATGAGCAACATGGAAAAGCATTTTAATTCCAGTTCAGTGAAGAAATTCCTGAGCTTTCGGCGCCTAATGGCTTGAGGAGACAAGTGCGTCAATGTTCCTCCAGGCCCGGGGATCCAGACAATACGCAATTGTTTCAACCACAATAGCTTTGTGTTCTAAATACGCCAGCCATTTACCGTTATTTGCTAATCAACTCACCGGCGGAATGGACTCAATGGCCTGCTGAAAAAATCATTCGAGTTTTTGATAGAAAGCCAAAACCCACTTAAGCAAAAAAGTTGTTGCTGCTCTGCCTATGGCAAGTTGCATCTAATTAGGTCTTTATCACTTTCAGTCCCCATCAACAGATCCTTTTCACTTTACTTCTGTTTATGAATACAATAAATATTTTCGTGAGTGTCGAGTGCAAACCTGCTGGCATCTCGGGATAATTTATCCAGAACAATTTGGCATAAACTGAGCTGTTTATTGTTGCGGCTGATATAAATAAGCAATCAGTGGTTGTAAATGATGGGAAACATCGCATCGATAATGCAACTTTCAATATGCACTGCTCGATAGATGAAAAGCGAGTAGGAGTGAAACTCGTCGAGCCGGAAACCCATCAAGATGCAATAATGTTGATGATGCGAGCCAGATGAATAATGTTATTTGTGGAAAATGTGCGGTTATTTTAAGAAAATTGCTCTCTTGTCGTGCCATTGTCGCATGTTCGAGATCTTTCGAATTCCTTTTCATGCATTAAACCATCAGGATTAGAAATTAGGAGTTAATAGGAAACGTGAATTGGTTGCTTCGGTTAAGCGCACTCATTCTATGACGATACCGATTTGGAGCAAAGTGACTGAAATGAGCGACTTTTTTGAAAATTCCTGCATAATGCCCTCGAAGATCAGCGGATACGTTTTAAGGTGCATTGAGCATTTCGAGGAAATGTCCGAAACAACAGGTGAGTTCGAAACGTGTGCAGAAAGTATCGTGTGTCTCGCAACAATCTAAGACTCGGCCAATTTACTCCATTTTTCCGCAATGATATTCACCTGCGATATATGGATTAAGATTTATTACACTCGTTCCTTGACAATTTATGCCCCTTTAGCGTAATATATCAGCCTAAAGGTATTTTCCCAATGGCTCATAAACAACATTTATTACCGAAATGCCGTTATTATTTGATACTCGCATTTGGTGGAGTTTGGCCACTTGAGGCACTAGGAAGAAGTCCTTAAATAGTTTCGCAAAGCAACTAATCGGCCTGATTATGTATACATCATTGTACGGATCCATAAAATATACAATTCAACGTTCCAGAATTATAGCGGAAGTTCGGGCCATGTGACAGTAATAAATGTTATAACCTCGCACCCTATAAAACTAGAAACGGTGGCTAAAAAGTTAGTGAAAACTGCTGCAAGACAATCGATACCTCAACAACACCCTCGCCTCCACTTTTTCCGTAGTTTATTCGGAAAGTCGCGATTTTCGGATCGTTTACTTTCACTTTTATGTCCTGCCTTATATTTGTGTTGGTTTTTGCGCTAAGGGTTTTCTCGGCTATTTATTTAGGCAACTTTTCAACTATTTTTCTACTGTTCAATTACACTGAGGTGATAAATACATTTTTTCCGTCTCAATTAAGAAATAGTGTCAACATCTCGTTTAACTTCGATTGGAGGATAAAAATGATGCAAAATCTTTGCAATTTTATGTTAAATTGCAATTTTTCAATGCTTTTTAACGCGAAATTTTACTACTGACTCTTTGAACTTTTTTAGATTCTTGTCCATCGACTCATTAAACTCTTGCTTCTGCAGTGAGAAAGGGATTAGAGACTGAGAAACACGTTGCATGTAAAATATATTATAAGTACAAAAAAAAACAACAAAAAATAAGAATAAAGGATAAGGAGAAAAAAAAATGGATTCTGAAAAGGAAACAGTGAGTTCAAACTGCGGAATGTTTTCCACCTTTCTGACTCTGACTTTTAGAGGAATTTTGAAAACATTTCGTCTGAAATCCGTCGAAACAAGAGCGAAAATCCACCATGAGCTTGAAACTTTGCTTTCAAACTGACTCATTTTTTCTATTATAGAATCTCTAACTTTTCTCGGTTATTATCGAAAATGCTGTTACAGATTGGAAAACGCATTAAATTTCAACCTGTTCTCTAATTTATCTTTAAACTCTTTTAAACTCCCAATGAATGGAGACTGAAATTGATTGGGTACAAACTGTGTTTTCAAACTTTCCCTGCATTTTGCAGCTCTCTGACTCTCATTTTCTTCACTATTGAATCTTTAAATTTTCCTTTGTTACCTCTCTGTTATTATTGAAAATGCTTTTAGTGACTGAAAAGCGAGTTGAGATGCAAAATGCTTGCTTACCGCCAGCAACAACTAAAGTTCTTCAGAGCACTAAGCGGTGAACAATTTCTTTCATCTCTCTTTTAACTTTTTTACTCTCCTACTGAAACATCGAAACAAGACCAAAAACGTGCTGACGTGGCCATAAAAAGTTGTCCTTTCAACTGCGGAATATTTGAAAATTTACTGTCCCTTTGGCTCTCGTTTTGTGCAGTATTCGACTGACAACATTACAAGCTAAAATATATTTTTGCGCGTTTAATTGCTAAAATTCTTCTTTAAAAAAAAAGCGGAAAAAGTAGGTTTTCTCATCTATTTCTCCACGCTTCTGTATTCTGATTGAAAGTGCAATTGGAGCATGAACCGAATGCAGAATTGCAAAATGCGCGCTTTAAAATGGGAAAATATTTTAGATCTTTGGACGGTTTGTCGCTCATTTTTAATCTTTAATCACTATTGCAACAAAAGCAGCCTTGTGAATTTTAGTTTAGATTATTTACAGAGCACAGAGTGGCCTAGAAACTTAACTCTCTGAGATTCGATTGGAAACTCTATTAAAACCTGAAAACGCTTGCAAAATGTTCCTAATATTTGCGACTTGGAGAAAAAGCAAACATTCTGCTCACAGAGCGGAAAACTTTTTCAACGCCTCACCTCATCTCTCTTTCAACTGCTTCTGCTCATTAAACTCTCCCGCAATATCCCGATTAGATAAATGGCAAAATTTCCCAGACAATGTTGATCTTATTACATTCATATATGGGGATTAATCAAAAGAGCATTTTCGCTTCCGCAATGTTTATGGCACGCATTTTAAGCATTAGCACACGTGTTTATTGCCAGAGCCAGTATTTAAATTACTCCTACTTCTGCCGTAAAAATAGTTCCAAGGAATATGGTTGGTGTTTTAACATGTCGAAACTTTTCAGTGAAAACGAGACACATTTCCCGATCGGTAATTGATGCGAATGTAAATCGAATCAGAAGCATTTCAGACGTTTATTAGGTAGAGAAGCGCGGGCAAATGGACAAAAGTTAATTGCATAGTTTTACGAACCAATAAAAAAAATCGATTAGTTTTTGATAGCAGTTGGAGTTTTTTGGTCTTTTAGTCCGTGAATTTTAGGGAAAAAAGCCCCATAAACTACCAGTTTTTTGATTGATACCACATTTTTGATGTATTCGTTGCCTGTTCCATTTTCTGATTTGTTCCAAAGTCGTTTCTATCGTGCACCGTTTGCAACTTTCGCCACTTGAATGCAAATTAGCGCAAAGTTAGAAACTAAAGCCATTTAGATTTTTAACTTTAAAAGCGAACAAGTTTCTTATTAGTTTACCGCAAGTTGATCCGTGCTTATCAATCGATCTGCGTAATCAGTTGCGGTCCACTCTACATATAATCATAACATTTAACTTTTCTAATGTGATATTAATGCGCATTGCTGCGAAAATGCGGAAAACCTGCTTGATTTCAGTTAGAGATTACATAAATAAAGACGGTCTTGATTCCTTTTAATTAATGTTTTAGCATTTTTTAAATTAATGTTTGTTTACTTGTTGAGTTAATTTCCATCAGCACAGGTTCAACCAAAACGGCCTTTGGGTCCTATTTTCAATTTTTCTAACCGAATTTGCCACAATCAGTTTCACATAATACTTAAAAGAAACTGCACTATAAAGATTAGAGGCTTGCTGCTTTGGAGACTGTTTTAGAAACGTTTGAACTTTCCCCTCTTAACAGTAGCAGCCATATCTCGTTAACGACTAGTTTCACCTTTTTTTCGACTTCAAAAACCCACATTTTTGTACATTTTCATCCCAATCTCCAGGATGCAACTGGATTAAACCGAATTTTTTTGCTTTCAGATCGTTCGTTTCTAGTTGCAAACTACTCGAAACCGGGACAATGCAATATCATATATTGCTCAGATGGGTTTTGCCGTTTGGCCGGCTATTCCAGAGCCGAAGTTATGCAAAAGTCGGCCTCCTGCTCCTTTCTTTGCGGTCCACTCACCTCCCAACAGGCCGTCAGCGGATTGAGGGAGGCTTTGCAGAAGGGAGTCGAGAAGCATGCGGAGGTTCTCTATTATCGGAAGGACGGTTAGTATGGCCCTGGACTTGCAATAGGAAAAGAGCGTGAAGCACAGTGGAGGATGGACATTTTCTTTGAAACTGTGTTTGTGTTTATACGTGTGATTTTTATCAAAAAACTTCAAGTTTTTAATCAAACAACAGTGTGACTTTAGAGACTTCTTTGACCACTACGCATTTTTCCTCATTTATTCGCCACTAAATTGGACCAATTATTAAACAGTCAGTTTTAGACTCTCATTTAAACAGAAAGAACAATCAGGATTTAGTGCGATTGCAATAAAAATTACTGGATTCTGAAGCTCGACTGTCTGCTATATCTTGGGCAACTTACAAGTTTGTTCTCGCCCCAAATGAATAGTTACCAACTTTTTGAGGAGAGCGAACGTTGGTCTGAAAACGCCCATTTTTAGACCCTCGTTTCAACAGCCACAAAAAATCAGAATTTAGTGCGATTGCATTAAAAATTACTGAATTCTGAAACTCGACTGTCTGCTATATTTTGGCGAACTTACAAGTTTGTACTTGCCCCAAATGAGTAGTTACGAAATTTTTGAGGCAAGCGCGCGTTGGTCTGAAAACGCCCATTTTAAGACCCTCGTTTCAACAGTCAGAAAAAATCAGAATTTAGTGCGATTGTAATAAAAATTACTCAATTCTGAACCGTGGCTGTCTGCTATATTTTCGGCAACTTACGAGTTTGTACTTGCCCCAAATGAGTAGTTACGAATTTTTTGAGGCGAGCGCGCGTTGGTCTGAAAACGCCCATTTTAAGACCCTCATTTTAACAGTCAGAAAAAATCAGAATTTAGTGCGATTCCAATAAAAATTACTCAATTCTAAACCTTGGCGGTCTGCTATATTTTGGGAAACTTACAAGTTTGTACTTGCCCCAAATGAGTAGTTACGAATTTTTTGAGGCGAGCGCGCGTTGGTCTGAAAACGCCCATTTTAAGACCCTCATTTTAACAGTCAGAAAAAATCAGAATTTAGTGCGATTCCAATAAAAATTACTCAATTCTAAACCTTGGCGGTCTGCTATATTTTGGGAAACTTACAAGTTTGTACTTGCCCCAAATGAGTAGTTACGAATTTTTTGAGGCGAGCGCGCGTTGGTCTGAAAACGCCCATTTTAAGACCCTCGTTTTAACAGTCAGAAAAAATCAGAATTTAGTACGATTGCATTAAAAATTACTCAATTCTGAAGCTCGACTGTCTGCTATATTTTGGCAAACTTACAAGTTTGTACTTGCCCCAAATGAGAAGTTACGAATTTTTTGAGAAGAGCGCGAGCTGGTCTGGAAACGCCCATTTTTAGACCTTCGTTTCAACAGCCAGAAAAAATCAGAATTTAGTGCGATTGTAATAAAAATTACGCAATTCTGAACCTTGGCTGTCTGCTATATTCTGGGCAAACTTACGAGTTTGTACTTGCCCCAATTGAGCAGTTACGAATTTTTTGAGGAGAGCGCGCGTTGGTCTGAAAACGCCCATTTTAAGACCCTCGTTTCAACACTCAGAAAAATTCAGAATTTAGTGCGATTGCAATAAAAATTACTCAATTCTGAGTCTTGACTGTCTGCTATATTTTGGACAACTTACGAGTTTGTACTTGCCACAAATGAGAAGTTACGAATTGTTTGAGAAGAGCGCGCGTTGGTCTGAAAACGCCCATTTTTAGACCCTCGTTTAAACAGCCAGACAAAATTAGCATTTAGTGGGATTGCATTAAAAATTACTGAATTCTGAAGCTCGACTGTCTGCTATATTTTGGCGAACTTACAAGTTTGTACTTGCCCCAAATGAGAAGTTACGAATTGTTTGAGAAGAGCACGCGTTGGTCTGAAAACGCCCATTTTAAGACCCTCGTTTAAACAGCCAGACAAAATCAGGATTTAGTGCGATTGCATTAAAAATTACTGAATTCTGAACCTCGACTACCGGCTATATTTTGGCAAACTTACAAGTTTGTACTTGCCCCAAATGAGTACTTACGAATTTTTTGAGGAGAGCGCACGTTGGTCTGGAAACGCCCATTTTTAGACCCTCGTTTCAACAGCCAGAAAAAATTTGAATTTAGTGCGATTGCAATAAAAATTACTCAATTCTAAACCTTGGCGGTCTGCTATATTTTGGGAAACTTACAAGTTTTTACTTGCCCCAAATGAGTAGTTACGAATTTTTTGAGGAGAGCGCGCGTTGGTCTGATAACGCCCATTTTAAGACCCTCGTTTAAACAACCAGACAAAATCAGGATTTACTGCGATTGCATTAAAAATTATTGAATTCTGAAGCTCGACTGTCTGTTATGTCTTGAGTAACTTACAAGTTTGTACTTGCCTCAAGTGAGAAATTAAGAATTTTTGAGCTGAGCGCGCTCTTGCAGAGAAGCGTTCATTTTTCGATGCGCGCCTAAACAACAGAAAAAAATCAGCATCTAGTGCGATTCCGATGAAAATTTCTCAACTTTGAGACTCAATTGTCCGCTATCTCATGCAAATTTTTCAGGTGAAGATATTTTAAATGAAAATCCGCAAGACAAATTTTTTTTTGTTGCCAGAAAACATCAAATTTTCTTCGTCCCATTTATTCGAACTAATTGAAGAGAAAAAAAAATACATTTTAAGGGAACTTTAAACTTTCAAACAATTAAGGAAAGAAGAAAGGTTTAATTTTGTATGTTGAAAACGCTGAGTGTCGATTTATTCCAAATTCTTATAGTTTTTATAATTTTTAAGACATTTTAAGACTATTTTTTTGTTTAGTTTGAATTTGGGGCTTTTTCACCGTTGAACATTTTCAGGCTTTCTTGATTATTTACCAAAAAACAGCAAATTCAGCCACTTTCCTTGAAAAATCGACTTTTACCACTAAGCCAAATTAAGCTGCTCCAACCTTCCTAATCAACATTAGGCAACATGAAAAAAAAACACTCAAAACAGCCAAATATCGACCAATCAAATCAATCATCGACAATACGTCATGGATGCCACCCACACCTTCCCAGGGGATAGCAAACTGCCACCGACGTCACAGGCGCATTTCTCCACTACGTCACAACCCGATGGCAAGGTGCCAACTAAATAAATAAAAATGCCCAACTTCGAGAACAGCGTCCCGTTCGATCACCGATTGGTAATGAAGAGGGCAACGTTCCTGGTTAAGGAGCGAACTTTCCCCAAAAGTGATGAAAATTGCCGGGGAAATTGAGAATTTAAGCCTCACAGATTTTAACTCAAGTTAGCGACTTACCTGGCAACTTCTAAAGAAAGGCTTTCAGCTGCAAGTTCTGAAAAAAAAAACATTGTTAGTAGCAATTGAACGCTAAGAAAATTTGAAACATCAATTGGCGTTGAAATACGTGCTAAAAAAAGTCGACCAGTAGAATTAACTACCAGCTCTGGCTTCCGCGGAATTATTATTTAATCTGGGCGGCACCATCGTGCTCTGAGCGTCTGTTTGGGCACCCGCGCCACTCTCCACCTTCCCCTTGTCCTTGCAAACCATGCCGCGATCTAAGTAGAAATTGAGCTGCACTTAGTGCAGCCTCATTTGCGTTATTGAGTAGTAGAATAGTATCGGAGGATGCTGATGATTTTGTGAGAGATTATCTGAGTGTGTAGAAGAACCGGCGCAAGCCAATAATGAAGAAGTAGAAGAAGAACTAGAAAGACCACAGCATCAAAATACCTTGCCAAACTCAATCTCGCACACGTAGGAGTCTGGGAACCTTATCAAATGACACCCAAATCCGCTCTTCGGCCAATAGTTTAGTTACATTTATTCAGGTCGAATTTGCCGTATTATTTCATTCACCTGCAATCAAATGCCCATTATATCAACATGCACGCAATGCTAATAGGAAAATACACCTGGAAACGCCTTGGCAAAGTCCACAAATACCAAATCAATTTCCACCATCTAAATGAAGTCGCATTCCTCCGCAATGCGATAGAGAAATGATTTACAAAACATCGGCTTAGTTGTTATTGCACAGCACATTTATTGAACCAAAATAAAAAAGAGCCGGGAAATCGGAGCTTAAGGGCCTGCCATTAATTGTACCCTTCTGGATTAGGTGATACGTCGATAAAGTTGCGAGATAACTCCCGCTTATGAAAGTTGATGATTCATTTTATTGTTTTGATAGCTCGGCTATCAGTGAACATCCAACTGGCTGGGGCGATATTTTCAATAATACCTTAAGGTAACCGAATTTATTTTAATTATTACGGTGCTTTTACCAAACGTTTCACCTGCCTGCGCCGCAATCGCTAAAAACAGTCATCAAGTATTCACAAACTGTCCGCATTCAAAACAATCAGAAATAGATTTCCACCGCAAAATGCACATCTAGAGCCAAAAAATATCACCGGTAAAAACTCAAAATGTCTCAAAAGATCTTCAATTTCATAACCCACAAAAGTGACAATATTTTCACAAAACATACAATGCTGTTGGTTCTACGTGATCAACTTGACGTTATCCTTTCGCTTATGGCCATGTCGACTGGCATTCAACTTGAAAACTGCATTGAAATATCAATAAATTGGCCATAAAACGTCCGCATATATAATTCACGGTGTTTAGAAGGGCAAAATTTGCTTGATTGGGCCGGCAAAGGTCACGACGAACGTTTAGATTACCATCAACTTGTGTTATTTCATCGAGTCAAAGACGATGTCGTTGTGTTTGATATGCAAATTTTTATGGCCAAACCGTGTGCAGGTCTTCTTCCCGAGTGACCCACTTTTGGACTTTTAGGCGCAAGTTTCACTTGAAAAACCCGTTAGTTTATAGTTCATGGTTAAAGAGTATTTGTTCCTTTCGTTTTTTTTTCGCTGACGGAAATTGGCCCACCGTGTATATAAATAATTGCGTAGCAAATGAGTTTGAGCCCAACAACTCATAGAAACCTGTAATAATGGGGCTTTCAAGCCAAGCTAGTAAATAGCACCCGATATAGCAATTTTCCCATAGTTAATGATATTGGGCATTGTTAAATTAAGTTGATTTTCCTCATAGTTTTGTTGTGGTTTTGGCACCATGTGGCGACTTTTTCCTTTTATTCAACTTTTATCCAACTTTTATCCAAACAATCGATATTGCGGATGATACATCGAGTGAATAAATGGCCTCAATCGCTTGCTCGATTTTCTATTTGCATTTAAGTAAGTATCCAAGTCCTCCGGCACCTCTCCAAGAATTAGGACACGATGACTTTGGGAAATCTGACCGCTGCTGGTTCATGCAGGTACATTTTTCCTAGCTGGAAATTCCACCCGAGCCATAATGTGCGATGGAAGGAAATTAGGCTAAAAAGGCTCACCTTTTAGGGGTTAAGTTCCAGATCGATAGAATAGCGTAGAGGTAACGGGTTTAACGGGCTGATATGGAAAATACGGTGCCTTTTAGATTAAGAATATTATCGGGGCCCTATTAAGAAACCCGCTTAGTATGGATACAACGAGCGAATTTGCCGGTTAATCCACCGCAACCATTGGGCCACTTTTACACTGTTTACGTCCCAGTTCTAAGTGTTTTCCAGTGAGACCAATTGAACCATTCCTGCGGAGATTCCATGGAGTATTAAGAAATTGTTTGGTAAGTGCTTTTTCATGGACTGATCCAGAAAATTTAAATACTTATTTAAATCGGTCATTTTTTTAAGTAAGTTTTTGCAAAAATCTCAAGAACAGGAGTCTAAAGAAAAGCTATTTTTTTTCAGCTCTTAGGTAAGAACATCGACTAAAGACTCGTAAGAAACAAGCAAATTGTTTTGCTATTTTTTTAGAAAAACCTTTCTACAAACCTTCTAATTTGCAATCAGGTTCAGCACCTGATGATGAGTAGTTTAAACACGCGAAACATGTTGGGTTTATTCACAGCCTTGTAAAATGCGTTCTCAAGACTTTCAGGGTTATTTGCAAAGTTTTTTTTTGTTGAAATTCGGTTACAATAATTTGTTTCATTCAGTGTTTGATATATTTTTTTAAAATTTTCCGTCGTTCTCAATGCCAAATTTCACACCAAAATTACTTAATTTGATTCAATAAAGCCGCAATATCAGAAGCGGCAATTGGATTAAACAAACGGCGACAAATAGTTTTTTATCCAAACAAAAGTTTTCGTTTTTTTCATATAAAACATTATAAATTATAGAATAATTTCCGAGTAGTGGTCACTCGAAAATTTGTTTTAGTTTTCCGCAAAGGTTTAATTTTTAGGCACTTTTCACTTTTTCATCCCTTTTATAAGTTCTTTCGCAATACTGCACTTTTCGATATATTTTTTTGCGTTATTTCTGATTGTAATGGCTGCCGGATTGAAAATCATGTAAAATATTTAAGAAAAATCGGTGTTTTTTGCTAAAACCTCGAAAACTTGACTCCTTTGGAAAAACTTTCCAAAGCATCTAAAGAAAAACTACTACTTTTAGGAAAGAAAATCGGCTAAGTACATGTTATATATATATACATATTCTATATATATTCATTCTGTTATATACATATTCTAAAGAAAGACAACTTTCTGTTTCTTTAAATCATTGTTTGGCAATAATTTCTCAACAGCTGGTGAAAAAACTGAAACTACTTATCTGCAAGCAAAATCCCCAATTTATTAACTATTTTGTTAATTCAGGGCTTTGAAAAATTTGATTCAAAACCAAGAAACTGAAAATCAAGTGTTTGAACATTTGTGAGTCAAACTTCAGCTTCATAAACTTTCGACTTCAAGCTAATATAACTAAAAAAACAATGCGTTTTGGGTAATAAACAGCAGCTTTTTAGCTTAGTTAATCGCGTATCAAGCAAACGAAGCTCAATATAGCAGTGGAATCGCTTTTCCATCGCGACTTTATGCGGTGAGACCTAATCAGGAACAGTCGATTTATTAGTTTAAAAATGTTTCCAAAGCTCCTTTGGAACTAAAAACCAACTGCATCGTTTGTTTCTTCAGATGAATATTGAACAATTTCGCAACATTGTTCCCTTCAGAAAGTTTTTTTGGGTTTTCTATAAAAATCTCATATTTTCCTATAATGGCGCTTCACAAAATCTGGCAAAATGTCTTGTTTGGATGGATTGTCGAATTGGAAAGCAGGTTAATTGCCAATCAATCTGATCTGAGCGGAAATCTTTGAATGTGGGTTTTTCAACCGCTGATTAATGATCTCTGGATTGGCGATATGTTGTCTAAAGCTGCTACTTTTTCGCCAGATTTTTCGCTATATTGTACAACATTTTTCTGTGTCGTTCCGCAATTCCCGTTATAACCGCCATCGAGCAATTTTTTTACATAAAAAGAACCGTCCAACCGCCCGGATTCGATAAAATCATAATAAAATTAGCAACGAAAACAAACAGGCCATCAAATGCACGGGACAGGCATTATTAAATAAACGATCAGCATTTTGACTTATGACAATGTGTAAGTGAAAATCGGCCCCACGACTTCCCATTGCGGATTTTCATATTTTAAATAAATAAACACTGGTGCGGGATTTGTATATTTTCGGTGCGGTCAATTGGCCGATGTATTTTTTATGAGCCTCGATTTATTTTCCATTTTCAAAACGAAATAATGCTTGCGGCCTGCGTTTATTATTTAAGCTGCGCCTCAAATCGTGCCTACACGTTGGATGGAATCCATTGAGAAAAAAAACCGCTAAAAATTTCAATTAATCATAAGATTCCGTTCTGGTTTCGCCAGCATCTTGTTCTATAAAGTGCACTCGTTTTTTTTCGATTTTCCTTTGGGAAATAAACTTTTCCTTCAATACAGTTTGCGCTCTATTGAATCGCTTTGATCCCTCAAGGGTTGGTTCTTGAACAACCTATTTTAGTTCATATTGCTCAACTTCCCCGTTATAAAGCGAGTTTCTCTTAGGGAAACTCAGTTTGTGTGCAAGTTAACACTATTATTTAACTCGATTTTTTTAGGTTCAAAGTTCCTATGCTCGGAAGTGATCGCGCCGATTCGAAGCGAGGTGGATGACATATCCTTAATCATTATAAACTTTGAGGACTTGACAACGGCGCCAGCGCCGTCTCTGGAAAGCAGCCCTGTGAGGAAAAACCGTCTGAGTAAATGTAAGTAAACTGCAGCAAAAATTTTACACCCCCAATCGAACAACTTGTTTGTGTCGATACTGTGGAGCTTCTTCTGAATACTTGAATATTTTTCTCAGTGTATCGTACTGGCACAAATCGATTCAGAAAAAAGAGCAACTTTTTTTCAGTGTAGGTGCAAATACCCCAATATCGACCGAATTAATATTATAATAATGGTTGGTTTGAAAAAAAAGGCAAATTTTACATTGTTTAACCGACGAGAAATTATGCTTGATTTGAATTTGAGCAAATAACAACGAATAGACAGTTTTTCCGCAAAATCGCCAGCTCATCCAAATGTTCGCGCGGTTGCTTTACAAGTCAAATATTTGAGATGCTTGTAATTAAACTCGAAATTAGCCACCCTTGATGATTGCATTATTAATCAGAAGCTCGAGGAAAGTTTGCCTGTTATGGAACTCTTAACTCAGCACATTTCGCCTAATTCCCTTGAAAAACCTCTGGGAAGCGACTTGGCAATTAATAATATTATAAATCTGTCGTCTGACCAGACGAATTACTCAGTCAGGGTTTTAGAATTTCCAATCACAGATCTGAGAGAAATTTTGAAAACATTGAAAACACTAAACAAAAGGTCTAACTAACACTGTTCAAGTCGACAGAGCCCGGGCGTCCTTTCGGCAGAGTCTTCGCCTCGGTAGAGGTCGTGCCTTACGACTGGGAGGATATTTAACTCCCCCAAGTGACGTCACTGCCGCCGAAGAAGAAGAAGATACCTTAGAACAATGGTGAGTTTTTGTTAACTGTTCAAGTTAACTGCCTACGCTCTAACACCGACACACTGGAAAACTGCAAATGTTTCAGTTGGTTTTTTAAGCAAAATCTTCTAAGCGTTGACTAGAGAAGATGCGAAAGCTTGCAAATAGTTCAATTGTTTCTTGATTTTTTTTAAATTTTATGTTTGAAAATTGAAACTTTTTCATATTATTTAATTTTTTGCTATTTTTGTCCTGTTCCTTAAGCCAGCGCTAGAGAAGGTGCAAAGCTGTGCAAATGTTTCAGTTCTTTTTTCATTTTTCGTGTCGTTTTAGCGAGCAGAAGAAGTCAACTGCTTAAAAACGCGAAAAATGGAAGAACAGTTGAAACAATTGCACAGTTTCGCATCAGCTGAAGCCTTCGCATAGACAAATTTCCGACAAGAAAAAAACACCAAAAATTAAACGGCAATTGAAGCTTTTCCCCTTATTTATGTTTCATTTTTAAGCGAGGGCTGGAAAAGGTACAAAACTGGGAAACATTTTCAATTGCTTTTTTGCTATTTCTCGGTATTTTCGTCAAGAGCCTCTGCTCTAAGCAAAGGCTAGAGAAGACGCAAAATTGAGCAAATAATTAAATTGTTTATTAATTTTTCGTGGCGTTTTAGTCAGCGATGGTTAGAGAAGACGTCAACTGCTAAAAAACACTAAAAATGGAAGAACAATTGAAACATTTGCACCGTTTAGCACCAGCTCTAATCTTCGCATACTTAGCAATACTAGATAAATTGTCGACGAAAAAAGTACGAAAAATTAATTGCACTTGTGCTTTTCTCAGCAAAGACCAGAGAATACGAGACCTGCTAAAAACCCAAAAAATTCCAAAACCCTTGAAACATTTGCACATTTTCAACCTTGTCAAGCCCTCACTTAGAGAGGTCAACTGCTAAAAAAACAGGAAAACTGAAAGACCAATTGAAATATTTGCACCGTTTTGCACCCTGTCGGTATTGGAGAAACGACACCGTTGGGAATTTAATTAGCAAATTGCGCCTGATAGCAGACATCAATCAATCAAAAGTTCACCCGAAACAAAAGCAATTTATCAGCAAACATTCGCTGGTTTGGACTTGATCGAGAAATGTTTTGAATCAGTTTTTCTCTACAGAAATAAAACAGCGTAGAAAATTTAAGACCATTAGAGCGTGCAGTTAAGTAACTTTGTAACTTTCTATTCACTTTGCAGTTACACTTTTGCTAATGCTTATTACAATAAAAGTAACAAATGCAAAAATTTGCATTCAAAGTAGAAAGCGCACACGAAACGAAGCCACGGGGCCTCCTAAACAATCATGGAAATTGTGCCGCTTACAGAAACCGAATGCCGTTCGTATTTCCCTGTGAAACGCAGAGACACACACGCAAAATGGCAATTTTTTTTTATCTACACCTGCCCAAACGTCCTAGAAACCCCTAAATCACCCCAGTTATATTGAGTCTCTAGATCTACGCTACTGGAATTAAACACGGTGGTTTTCAGCCCGCTAACTTCGAACTCCCCAACGCCAATTCTGTCGGAGCAAACGTGGGTCTCGCGCTCGGAAGCCCCCCAATATTCGCATATAAGTCCGCCCATGGCCTCCCAGGGGGGCACAGTGCATCGAGCCCCGGACTACACAGCGCTCACTATCAGCCACAGTGCCCCTGCTAGTCATCAGGCGAGTTTCGAAAGGGGAGAAAGTCAGGAAAGAGGAGGATTAGCAGGAAGGAACAATGGCAATAATGGAACCAGTAGTAATAATACTAGGTGAGCAAACATCACTTTTTCGATTAAAGTTTGTCTGAAACTGCTGAGTTTTTCCGGGCTTCTAAGCTGTAGTGGAACAAAATTTTGCCGTCGTGAAAGCTGCAAGCATTGGCCGAAAAACACGAAATGTTGTCTGTTTTAGGCATCTGCACTATGCAAATCAAAATGCAGTGGCGTCTCATCGAGTAACGCATGCAACCAGTTTAGATGCCATTGCAAGGCGGCACTGTTTTAGAACAGGATATCCGGCCCAAACAATATGTAAGTCAGATTAATTAAAAGCAAATAAAGTTGATGAAACTGCAAGAAAAAAATTGATTTCAGCTAGTAAGCCGATTCTGAACAAACAATTCCCCAACGTTTCGTCAGAAAGCGATCTTCAAAGATACCGCACAGCGCAACAGTCGAATGATAGGAAAAGTCCCAGCTTATCGAATCCCACCGATTCCTTAAAGCAGAAAGTCTGCCCACAAGTAGGTAACTTGAAGCATTTCGTTTCCTCTGTGTTTTTGTGTGTCGTTTTTCTTCAGCTTGTTTGGCAGTCGTAAAAAACCGCAATTTTACTGGTTTTTAATCAATACAATCAATGAAAAGCTTTGCAACATAAAAAAATGAAACAAGTGATTTACAAGGTAACGAACCACGAAGCTTTAGGTCGTATTTTGGGTTGTCGCCGTTTTGGAGCATGTGAGAGTCATCTAGTCTAAGCGCGTTAAACTGCAAACTCGGAACTTCGCTTCGCATTTTCCATTAAACCTCCGCAACTGGATTGAGGGCTCGATTTTCCAGTATTTCCTCCACTCAAGAGAGGGCGACGCCCGACATTCTAAATGCTTTTGTACAGTTAACTGCAGCTTTTTTTCGGGTTTTGCTTAATATGGCGAACGACACGATTTTTGTCATATTTAAATTAGCCGATTGGTCCAGCTTTTCCTTCCGTGTTTATTTATTATAATTAATTAAATTTGAACTAATTTTTATTTTAATTATGCAGTTTTCGCTGCAAGACAACGGATCTGCCAAGTACTTTCAAAGCGGCATCCATACGCCCAAAATGGGAGAAAAAGTGGCACAGGTGAGAGTCTAGTTTAAAAAGAATTATTGCATTGGATTATTTTTAAAGCACGTTTAACCGAAAAGTTATTAAATAAACACGTTTTCTGTATGCTGAATTCGTTTTCGCTCGCAACAAGAGTTTCAGCAAGAAAAACCAATCAGCTTAGAAAAACAGATAATGTTGGCAAATATAATAAATGGTGTGTCATACCTGTACATGTTATGAGCAGAGCGTATTTTAACGATATTCTTGTCTGGGGATAATTTTGATGCTTTTTTAACGAATTCATGAAAAATGTACAACAAACTTTTAGCTACTTTCCAATTGTTTGCGAATGTTTAAAATTTTATGTGTTTGTTTCTCAGAAGATTTAGAATAAAAAATACGATTTTTCTTTTAGAAATACTYTTATTGCGGTTGACAAGGTTAATGTTCTAAATCCACATCAACTGTAGAAATAAATTCCTTGTTAATGTGTTAATATGGGCAAAATGCTTAAAAAGRTGATCGCTGGGTCGTAATTCTCAAGAATTAAAAAAAATCGACTACTTTGAGCTTCAAAAACCGTAGCAGACGAACAGTAGATTCAGCAGACAYAAAATATTGAGACAARACCCCAAGTTTCACTTACAACAGCAAAATCTCAGAGTAAATTTTAATATAAATGTTCATTTCTTATTTTTCTATTTTGAGTTTATGACTCATAAAATTCGCAATTAAAGAATAAATACAATCTTGATTTGAAATGTATTTTAAGCCACTGTTCCATGGAATTTACTGATTTTTTGAAGTTTATTTAATCCCTATTTGTTTGGAGACTTTAAGTRGAATAAACTCCCAATCAACGTTTYAATGTATTCAATGTATTCACTTACAGAGAACATAMAAAAAATKTTTCCCCGCCTGTTAGCAAAATTATTCCAGGCAGKCTTCACCGTATTACAAATAAAGCCTCAAAATRGCCCAAAGATTTCTTTAAGGTTCTTCTTYAAAATAATTTTTTTCAATTACCATCAATTTYTGTCAGTGCCCTTAAGGGTCATTTTTCCCAAAMRAAAAATGAGAGTCATAATCTRATMAATTAWGACAAAATATTCAAATACATTTTATATTTGAATGCTTTCATTSAAYRTATATTTMATTGTTCTTCACATTTATTAAATCGCCAATTKATTAATTCACCTTTACAATAAAATTATAGCAAATAAAATGAACTTTCTACATAGCAGCCAGAGTATTTTAATTATAACAATTAAATCAATTCTGGCGCTTTCCATTATGGGGCCAGAGCTCAAAATCGCTGTAAACGGTAATGAGGGGCACTTGGGAACATAAAATGCGCTTCAAGCCTCCTGATAAACCCCACCTTATTAAAACACTGAATTTTTAACAATCACGCATAAAATAATGCAACATAACGCCAAGGAACACTTATAATAATTCATGAGGAACGCATTTACCCTTGACCTGCTAACTTAGTGGCATTCCGAGCAGTTACCGGTAAATGCGATACACTTATTATGGATTTCCGACTTTCGCTTGCTACTTTCCTACCCTTGAGTTGTTTTTTTCTCATTATACTCTCTACGAGCTTTCAACGTTGGCGATATTACGAGCTTGAGGCTTTTGTGTGGCTATGGACGAATTTCCAGGCTCACTCAAGGAGCCCAAAAGCAAAATGCTGTGGGGGGCTTTCCGGGCTTTTGAGGCAAAAATTTATTCGCTAATTAAAAATCTAATCATCGCTAATATGATGCTTTCTTGCTGATAGAGGCGGCAAATTAGTTTTCCAGGAAACCCTTCAGGTAGCAATTGGTAATTTATATCAAGCTTTGTGTTTAGTTTTTCGTTTTCTACTTAATGTTTTTCGTGTTTGGGTCCCGGGGTTCATCTAGAGGAATCGAGTTTCAAACTGTCAGAAAATCATTAAAGTTGCAATTTTTTGTTTTAATTGATTTCTCCCCTGAAATTCTCCCCTAGTAATTAAATAAAACAGATTTCCAAAGAAAGAAAATCAAAAACATTCGCAAACCATCTCGAGTTTTCTATCGAAACTTCTAGAAAAATTCGCTGTGAAGCAAATTCAACATTTAAAGTTCAAAGAATTAATTCGCACTTTAATTTTATTGGAAAACTCAATATCGGGAGGTTTTTAGTGAAATTGGACCTTTTTGTTAAATTAAATGCGGTTTCTTATGCAAATATTTAGTCCGTTAAAACTATAAATGCGCCCGATTTAAAGAGAATTTTTTAGTTTGCCCGATTTTTGTTTCTATAAAGAAAGCAGTTTAATGAAATTTTCGAATCAGCAACGAAGTGCCCAGCTTTGGATGCAATAAAGGCAAATTTTATTTAAAAAGTCCTAAAAATAACATTATAAAATCGTCGAAAATTTCCGTTTATATAGTTTTTCGCGTTGGACTTTGTTTTTAGCAGATTTTGGATTGAGTTTGTATGTAATGCATCCCAGGTATATAAATTAATTTTCAACACATTTTTACAATTATTTGAACAAGTTTTGATTAAATTCCGACTTTTTGCTTAAATTATCCACGGTTTTTGTTATGGATGCATGAAAACTCAAAATGCGTACCTTTTAAGGCAAATTGTTCTAATTTGTCGCGTTTTTTGTTTCTAATAGGCGGTTGGACGCATTTCTTGAATCCAAAAATACTTCTTGAGGAAAAATTGTTTAGTTTGTCTCATTTTGTGTTTCTAAAAGGCGGATTAATGTAATTATCGAATCAGTAACGACTTGCTTAGTTTTGGATGCAATAATGGCAAATTTTATAACAAATCTCTTTAAAATCTGCTGATTTCTGCGGTTTGACTGTCTGCGTTTGATGTTGGATTTTTGGTAGTTTTTCCAGTTTTGGATGTTTTTGTCATTGTCGAGATTTAAAAACCATTGAACCAACTTTAAATTTATCTGAAAATTACTTAAAACTGTTCAAATATTATTGTTCATACAATAATATATTCAATACAGTTTTTTTCGTGGTAAACTTCGATAGTATTCAGGTTCTGGGCCTGAATTTCACTCGAAATATCGAAATTGGTGTCGAATTTTAAATTTTTGCGGCTTGACCGCGTAAAATCAGATCGAAAGCAATCGCGAACTCTCGCGAGCGTTTTAACATCTTCTGGAACAATTCGCTGGCGTTCGCCGGGCGAATTTAGCGTTCGAAGGTTGACGAATTGAATGAATTCAGCTGTAACTTGACTGGAATATCTCAAGTTTTATAGTGGATGATGCATTAACATTATTAAAAATCATGGAATGTATCAGAAAATCTGTTTAAAATTGACAAAATAGTCGTTCAACTGCTTGGTCGTTTCCAACGGTTTTAGCAGTATCAGCTTCTCCGGAGCTTCCAGTGAAAAATTCCTAAACGATTCGCTAACGTTCGGAGCGTTTCAAGTTGAAAGTCTGTTGCCTTTCGATTACCGCTTTTGTACCTTTTTGAATGTGGAACCGATGTACTGAGGATTTTTTGCCATTTCGATGCCAATCTTTTTGAAAATGCGTGCTCAGTTTGGTCACCCTGTACAGCGGCGTCTCGTTGTCTCGTATTGACGTCAGTGGCGCAACGCGCTCAGCAGCGCAAATGTTCACAGCGACAGCGTTTGCAGGCCGCCAAAGTGAAACATCTCCGTTTCCTGGAAATTGATTTGCCGCTGCCTCTCTTTTTGGCATGGATTTCAGCTTTAGTCGCTTCCAAACCACCAGACTTGTCGAATAAAGCACAGTCCTGCCACTCGTTTTACACACACAGTTTTCTCTTAATTTGCAATTTACACGATGCAGCGCTTAGTAACAAATCACACATATCGCTTAGTCAATTCTCTAATCAATTCTTTACTTTGGTTTAATAGTTCCATTCTGTGAGTATTTTTAGAAAGGCTTTTCGAACCGTTCAGTTATCGCTTAACTGATTAAGCAATCAGTATCTTGCTTAAATGCTTCCTAGACACATACAAAACACTTAGAAAGTATTCTAGCGAATTAGAGGCAACGTTGTATTTCACTTAGAAGCTTAAGCTGTCAGGGTGAATCAAACACACACTTCTGAAGGTGCAAGCCACATGTGCTAGCGAAACGTCGATTTTCTATTGCCTCCATTGTTTACGCCCTTTCCATGCCCACAACTTCGCAAAGGCAAGCCATGCAGCAGAAAAATTTGCGATTTTCTCTCTATAATTATTAATTGCCGTGTTGACGCATTCCATGTGGAAAATTTAATTGTTGTTAACTGAAAACAGTGCGACATTTCCCTTAGTTGCGACCTTGTGGGCGCTTTGCGTGACTTCAGAATAACGAAATATTATGAATTCAAATTTCCCTAAATTAGTTTTATGGAGGGAGCCCCATAAAACCTCGTTGCTACCAGTTGGGTTGTGATTTTCTGCCCGACGAGTTTGTGCTTGCGTAATGGACGAAACAACTGCCCGTTTGTGTATGTGTTTGATATCAGATTTATCAATTTTACTGGAAGACAGGCAATGACCATTTGCGTTTCACTGGTTCAGCCGCATACTTAATATAGTCATTTAAATGCATGCTTGCTTAGGGCGTTTTATGCACAGCTTTTATGGCAAATTGGGCGTAAGTTTTGGTTTTGCGTTTACAAAGTCCCTTACAAATTGCTTTGAAATCAACCGGCATTTATTGCATTCTTTCTAGAAACTCTAACACAACGAAAAAACTTGATCAAAAAAGTGTTCAGATGCTTCAAACGATAAAGCGGCATTATTTTTAGTCGCCCTCAACCGTAATTTAACAGTGTATGATGCAAATGTAAGTCTTTAAGGGAACATTTTTAGAGTAGAGTCTCGCATTTTGGAAAACATCCGCAAATTTTCCCGTTCGCTTTCCTCATTTGCCACACTCCCCACGCAAATAGTTCAAAACCCCAAAAACTTTTCCTCGATAATCGCGTCTGGTATTTTATGCATCGCTTGTGAGAACGCTTGCCGCAATTGCAACCGAAACGTTTCCCCTTATCGATCGCAAGCTT